GGGGCCTTCCAGATGCAGCGCCCAACAAGGTGATGAAGACGGTGTCCACCATAGCCAGGTAAGTGCCCTACCACTCTCCTACCATGTCCCCCTTCTTCCTCCTTCAAGTTGGGGTGCTCGCCATAGTCAGGCTGAGCCCCAACACACCTTCACCTCCAAGCAGCGCTGCCTCAGACCAACGCTGCGCTCCAGCAGCATGTCGCCAAGCCTTGCATGCCGCAAATGAGGAAGAGCTCACCGCTCTTCCTGAACATATAGCGGCCTACCGGCCTCCCGGGCGGTGACTTCCTAGGCCAAGCGGCCTCCCAGCAACCGGTACCTCGTCCCTTTTGGAGGGAAATGTCATTGCAGGCTATGTTATTGTCCGCACCGAACCTAAAACAGGATGTCAGCGTTTTGCGGTTCTGCTTCGACATCGACTCGACTCCTACTTCATCGACGTCATCGACCACTTCGACGACTTCAATCACCTTCTCGACTTCAGCCATCTTATCGGCTTCAGCTACTTTGGACGTGACTACTTCACGCCACCACCCTACCCTGTACATCGCATGATGGTTTCCACTTAGTTGGGTCTCTTTGAGTTGGGCTCTCCCTTCGTATCGCATAGGCATTGGGACCGTAGCGTTATCTTGGCTTCCCTGCTCCCAGATCTAGCTCCTTCCTCCCCAGTCGGTGATTTGTGTGCATGTTTCCCTCATCCATTGCCGTCATCACCCTAGTGTCGGCTCTTGCATGCCTTCAGTTAGGCATATCTCCATTTTGGTCGAACTTGCATGGTCTATCTGTTAGGGTCATTGGTTTTGTTTCGCTACCACTCCCTCACCTTGAACATGATGATATATCCCACCGTCTTGTGTGACTGCCCTTAGGAGTTTTGCTTCCTAGGCTGCATTCACCCCCTCTGAGACCATCCCACTCTTAGTGGTTCAACGATATGACATTACTTATGACATATGGCTCTTTAGGACTGAGGTCATTGCCTTTAGGACTTTAGGATTGTATCATGCTACATTTCATTTTCTGTTGTTAGTTAAGATGTGTATACGAGACATTTGCTTTTCATTTGACATTATGTAGCTTAGGCTGCATCGCATGGACTACTCATGGAGCTTCCTCCGCATCTTAGATTTCTTAGCTTTCTTTATTGCAGGGTTCCGCTGCTTTTGCGAATAGTGTGTTTATGGCTCTTGCGATCCATCACGGGCGGGCCTCCATCTGCCCTGGCCTACAGCCAGCGCCTATTCGGCTATTTGCCAGTTCGACCTGTGGGACCAGGCCGTGGCCTGACCCCACAGGCCGTGTACTGTTCCAGTCCAGTCCAGTCTAGTCCAGTCAGTCCGTTGTCGTTACCAGGCCAATCCACTCCAGTCCAGTCAGTCCACTGGGGGTATACCCCAGCTGTTATCTGGTTTTTTTATCATTCTGCATTCTGCACTTTTGGAGTACGTGTGTGTTCAGCCCGCGTCGAAGTTGCGATGTCCCTTCCAGCTCCATCGGCTGACCGCCATCCTGGCGGGTCCGTCACAAGGTGGCCGCTGTCCAGCCACGAAGCAACAACAACTCCCATGGAAAAAGGAAGGCGAAAACCGCATCGTCGGCCAGAAATGGACAGCCAGTTCAACTTAACCGAGGCCGAATACAAGAACGACAACCGGTACGGCTGATGCTATTGGTGCAACAACACCAAGCACAAGACCTCCCAATGCCAAGATCAAGGCAAGGAGGATGTTCGACCTCGAATCAGCTCGGGAAACTGAGTTGCGCAGGAGGTGAGAGATCGGTCGCCTTGCTAGCAGCCTCCTATACATTAGGGGAGAATGCGGATGTCGTGAGTCCTCGGTTCACTTACGAGAATTACGAGATCCACTTGGTCCCACCGTTGGACCACCCACTCCACATGCAACAATCCACCACATGCACGGTTTCACCACCACCGGCAACCGATTCGGCATCATCGCCGCCAACTTTCGTCGGGGATTCGACGTCATGGCCAAGACTTGAGAGACTCGACCCGTTGATGTTCACGGACTTCCAATAGATGCCCCTTCCCACGACCGATCGATTTGCCGAAACCGCATTGCAACGTGCTCATGGCCCAATTGTGGGATTACTTGCACACTGCAGTACCAGCTCCGTTGATGGACGCTGGAGTAGAGGTTATTGACCTTCACGACTACGTTGCGAAGATCGACTACGAGTTCAAGACACAACGAGATGACAACAACGACGCGTCATTGTTGTACATACGCATTCACATCGGAGATGCAACCTGC